AGTTGATTTTGCCCCAATAGATATACAAAAATATGTATGAATGTATGTATATATTTACATATATGTAAAATGCTGCAAACGATTTTTGAAACATTTTTAACTATGGTTGTTCTGATAGTTTGCATTATCTGCGTTTGCTTTTGGGGCCTCGCAGAGATCTTGAGATGACCATTAACTCTTCTTCTTCATTTCTATTTATTTAGTCGGCTATTTTGGAACATATTGAATGGAATTGAGACATTACAAGTTACGTAGATTTTTTAAAATGTTTTGATCAGTATGAAAAAGATCCTTTGAAAGCATAATAACAAGTTAAGGGAGAAGAAAACAAAATACATATTTAGTTAATAATAATAAATGAGGAAAAAATATAATTATAGCTTAACCGAATGTGCCCTTTAAATAGCTCTCTTTCTAGACTTATTAAAAGACAAACAAAAACAAAAGGAAAAGAAATCAATAATGAAACATGAAAATAAATTAAAACCAAATAAGTAATACATCTGTATGTGAATGTTTGTGAATGTATGTATATGCATTGAATTAATATCTTGAATCTAGTAATACAATTTCGAACTGTTAAACGGAAGCCCAAATACGATAAAGTAATTGAGTAGCAAACAATTTAACAACGAGAACTAGTCGAAGTCGTCATTGAAGGAGAATGTGAAACTTATATTGAGAACAACTGAACGCTGGTTTCCAAATTTATTTGTTACAATAACGTACTTATAAATCCATTGTGAATTCGATACGGCATTGTGTGTGAATGCGCTGTTAAGACTCTCCCAAAACACACTTAGACATATGCATGTATATACATATGTACAACTATCTGCCAGCCAGGGCAGAGGGAACTGGCTCTGAGGCTGGCCTAAAACAAACTCAAAACACTCTCGACACACTTTCCGCCCAAACGAAAAAGAATGAATGTAATTTCTGCACAGGCTCTCAGCTCCACCCTAAAGACTAGAAAATTGACAAGCTCGCGCTGTGGCCACCTCATCATCAGCGGCAACAGCAACAACGTGAATTCCTAAACTCAATTTCAACAAATGCTAGAACAATCAAGCCACACACATTTCTTGCGCAAGCCAATGAGCAGCAGGCAGTGGGGTACAGCTAGAATGTAGACTTCTCTCTAGGCAGAAAAGCACATGCAACAAACAGCAAACAGGAAACAACCAACAACACAAACAACTTCTATGATTACTCGCACTCCCTCTATACATATTTGCGAGTGAAATCGTTTACATATCATCTTACGTAGCGGCAGTTGCTGCGATTCAGCAACTACTTATATCTATTGTAACTAAACGAAACAACTACAAGCACACTTATGCTAAAGCAAACGTAAATAAAAAAATATAAAAAAAAAAAAACAACAAAAACATACAACAAAAGGCAAGATGTAGGCTTTTAAGTAGCTAATTACAAGAACAAGCGGCGCGCTTAAAAATTGTAAACGCTAAACAATTTGTTTTTTCGAAAAGGTTATTTTCTCTCAGCATTGTTTCAATTGTATAAGCATACATTCATTATTTAAAATATATTAATGTAGATATATACTTAAATTAAATTTTTATATTTACCAAAGTTGTCCTTACTGAATAACATAAAATCGTTTACGTTAACCATTCCCAACATTTCTTAGGCGAACCAACAGCAAAGTAACCAACTTGAAAGAAAATAAAATAAACGTATATCTATTTAATACTTTGTTAAGATTAAACAAAAAAGAAACAACTAGACATACCAAAGGCATATTCAAAATGTTTGTTAAAGCAAAGAAAACACACACAAAACGAAAAAAAATGAATACAAAAATATGTATAATATATATGGCAATAAGAATTGGCATAATTGGTAATTGATATCAAGAAAGCAAAATCTAAGAAAATGTTGAAAATGTTGTCTACTCTTCGGTTAATTAACTTGAATATTGAAATTTATTTCGTATATGTGTAATTTCAATTGACTTTAGTCAAATGTAAAAGCATATTCCGTCCAATTACATTTCTTGCTTTCCTCTTGCCGATCATCACCATGATCCTCATTGTCATTAGCATCATCTTTGTCATTATCAACAGCATCAGCTAACATTAATCGTAACATTCAAGCGCGTTGGTCAGTCAACACACACAAACACCTACACACACACACATTATACATACAGTTTAAAAAAGGATAGTTTTAAGTGAACAAGTTTAATTATATATTAAAACTAATGCATATCATAAAATGGCGCCTTTAATGAAAATAAAGAACAAACAACAAAAAACAAAATTAATAAAAAAAAAAAACACAAGAATATTTACAACTACAACTAAGCACATAATTAAATTAAACAAAAAGAAGTAGAGGCATGTTTATCCAAGGGAAACCAAGTGGAATAGAAGCTATGCTAATATAAAAAAATATTTTCGAAATTATTTTTAAGCTTGAGAATTACAGCTATTCTCAGAGCGAGGAAAAGCAATGTAAATGCATTCTTATTCATATATATAAGATGCTGGGTGTGCGTGTGTGTGAGTGAGTGTGTGAATGCTGTGCAATGGAGCAGGCAATAGGCCAGCATCTCTGGAAAGAATCGCGCCCTACCCAACCAAATCATGTCCTCATGAAGCATAGCTCACGCATCTGCATCCATAACTATGTAGACAACCGACGATAAAGACATATGACATTGCCACATTAGCTGCTTTGCAAACAAGACATTCTCCTCACCAACACCTCGTGCGATTTCAAACAGCTGAGCAACAATTGACGCAATTGGAGTGCATGCAGAAGTAGAGCAAACACGTTTGAATGGGAATATCTAATGCATAGTGAAATAGTTTGTAAATGATAAGCTAAACTAAACTAAACTAAACAATATGAATTATGGGAACATTATATGAAAATATTAATACATTTTTCAAACAAAACGAACATTATTATTTATATATATATATATATATGTATATATATAAACCTACATGCAACTACAACAGATACATATCAGCAAGATGAAAGGTTTACGAGATAGAGAAGCGAAAACAAAAACAAAACAAAATGAAATGAGAATACAAGTTTTACAAAAAGTATAACACTTAAAGTTAAAGACGATATGTTTTGATGTGGTTTTTAAACATTTTTAAGAATGTAAGCGTAAAAAAGGCAGTTACCAAAAAAAAAAAAAAATAATAATAATAATAATAATAATAAATGAAGAAAATGAAAAACGAATAACAATTGATAACAATATAATAGAGACTACGTGTGTTTTACGCATCTACGGGCAATTAGTAATAGAATACGAATACATACGACTTACATAAATGGAAAGGCGGCAGCAGTAATGGCAAACCAAATTTGTATTTATTATTGCATTAGCTATATACATATATATATATATACAAATATTTGTACTTTACGTTTCGCGCATCTCGAAAGGGTTTAATCAGAACATAACTGTCCTATATACCTGCGTATTCGATATGGATTGCCTTATGGTTGCCTGCTGACAGATAACTAAACCGATTTGTTTTGTAACCTTACTAATGCTTAAGTTTTCGATGTACTGTATACCATTTCTCTTTATACTTTATATATACACACTATCTTTTCGTACTTGCGTTTATATGTAGCGATTATTTAGCCTTTTCTTAATTGACGGTATTAATTATGCTTAATAAATTCATTATGTTCGTTAAACAAAAACAAACAAAAACTAAAACCCTTTGTTTCATTTACATTTATTTATTTGTTTTGTTGTTCCTTTTTTATTTTTTCTTCCATGAAAAGATGCGCATAAAACCTTCAAGAAACGAATTTTAAATTAGTTAAATTTTTTGCAAGAACTATACAACTAAAAACATTCAACAGCAAATTCAGCTACATATGAATAAATACACATACTTGAGACCCTGAAAACAATTAGAGAACTGGGAAATATGTAATATGTATTCAAATAGAAATTGATATGGAAAAGATTGTAAATTTTGTTTATAACATTTCCAATTGCGAGCTAGAGAGTTGAATTGTGTATATACATATATATATATACACATATATACTATCTACATAAATTCAATACAGATATACACATACATATACACGCATACACAAATATGTTTATATATAAATATTTGTATACAAGCATATACAAACATACGTATAGGCATATAAGTAGATCAAATTGGATATTGAATATTGAAAATATGAATGAAAAGGCGGTTAAGGAAGAGAACATAAGTAAAACAAAGAGCAAGTGAAATGCAAAATACTTAAAATATAATTGAAAACATATCAAACTCGTGCCCGATATAAAATACAACCAACTATATATGTGCGTATATATACATATATATATATAAGCAGCAACAAATTTTGCGCAGCAATTGTCAAATTAATTATATATATTGCATATAGCGTCAACTTTTATCATCATAATAATAAATATAATATAATAACAAATACAATTCAATATAATACTAATTAAAAATACAAGAAATGACAACATTTTTGTCTATTTTGAGGCTCATTTATTTAAAGTTTTTGCAAAACATTTGACAACTCTTAATTTTAATACAGAGAAACCCTTTTGCTAGTAATGTAAAAAAATAAAAAACAAATATACAAAAAAAAAGCGAAAGCTAAGACAAAAATTAGCTAAATATTATTATAAACTTACATAAACAGAAAAAAAAATATGAATATCAGCCTTGTTCTTTATATATATTTCAAAGTAAAGCAAACAAACAAAAACATACAATATATTAATAAATTATTAACTACTATATTAAAAGTAAACTAAAACAAAAGAAAAAATTAAAAAAAAAACATACATAAGTATTTAGCAAAAATATTGTATTTGTGAGTTCATAAAATGTGTGTTGTTGCATACAAAACCAAAGATAAGAAATTAACAAAATTCGATTGGCAGTTACCAGAAGAGCGAAGCGAAACGAGGTGAATTGAATCGGCAGAAACATTACTGAATCAAGAATCAGGAATCAGGAATCGTGAACATTCTCACATTATCCACGAGCGATCAAGAAGCCGCAGCCTGCGATTAGGATGAAACGCATCTTATTTTAATTACAGTATCGTAATATCAGAAACTTATTATTGTACTACGAAACTATGAATAAACAACAGAAAACAAAATAACATACAAGCAAACACAAACAAATTATAGAATTTGATAATATTTCTCCCCTACCCCATTTAATCATCAGAGCAATATGCACAGACCCAGAGACAACAAATTGAGAAAATGAAAACAAACCAAAACAGGGTCTTGGCAGTGCGACTGCAAGCGGTAGCAACAACAACAACAACAGCAGTAACAAATAATATGTAATACAAGTAATGAATAAAAACTTTAACAATTGTTTTGTGTAATTGTAAAAAATAAGTCTTATTTCTCTGGGCGGAAGTAAACAGCAAAACACAGGGAGAAAGAAAGGAAGAGAGCAAAGCTGTAAATACAGATAGAACATGAATTTCAACTTATCATATATCTGTGATTGAATACTAAAATACATTAGATCCCTTAGATAATTCCGAATGGAATATAATCGATATATTGTGATTTTCGATTTAGCGGAGTACAAATTATTGAAGAAAAGCAAGGAATTTTTGATTTTATTTTTGTTGTAATAAGCTCTCTGTCGAGATTTTCATTTTACGAGGCTTAAAAATAAATTTGGAATCAACCAAGTAAAACTTACCATAAGGGGAAGCCATTATATGATCAAACTTGTAATCACGGGATACATACATAGATAATAGATAGCATTGGTAAGTCATTTAATGAGGATTGAGAACAGCTGTTAGTGCTTGCTTTCCAGCTTACTTATGTATGTACATACAAATGTGTATAGATGATATTGAAATGAATAATCAACATGTGTTGTAGTCCGCGTCACCACTTGATAGACAATATTGAATCAAATGAATCTCAGCTATATAGAAATAAATTATTATTTTTCTGATCCGGCTTATCGCTGACGACAGAGACGTCTGTAGGAGGAATTGGGAGGAACTCGAATGCGAAATCCCCTTGAAATGATTTGCAACTACAGCCGTAAACCTAACACAGATGCTGGCATAACCCAGAGTTCGCGAGCTCTGCCGATAAGCAAAGTACACAGAGCTCAGCTCACATACATCAGTGTTTGCTGTACAGGGTCTGCGCAGCAAAAAAAGATAAAATCCGCCATGTGCAATAGACAGTCTTGGTTATCTTGGCTACCTGTGAAAGGATTTTACCTGCCCAGAGAGAATAGTGCATAAACGGAATGCAGGAAACCCGAAACGAAACACCCTGTTAGCAGGTCTATGAGAGGTTTTGGTCCAGCTGTAGTCGATGCTCGAGTTCGCTCAGCTAGGCTGATTCAGTAGAATTCGTACTTTGCGACGAGACGGTTCTAAAATGCGCTTGATTTGCTTGCTGTTGTGCGCGGCTGCCACGCTCCAGGCCAGCCTGGCCGACAACAAAGTATCCTGTAAGGACGAAAAGGGACACGATGTGGACTGGTAGGTGTCTGAGCGAACAATAAAAAGAGAATATATGCTATAAGCAACGAATAAAGATATATAAAATAATATAATATAAACAATATATGATAATAAAAAGAACAAGTTTAAAATCAGATCGCAGACTATGGACTGATCTCAATAAAAAATTTAAGAATTGGAATTGCGAGAGTGACTCAATCAATCAATAAGTCATTTCTTGTTGCCAACATGAGACGCAAACAACCTTGTTCCAAAATATAAAACGAATTCGAAAAGGAAGGTCCTTAATAAACGAAAGTTCCTTTTAATCTTTGTTATACTAACCTAGACACTTTGAATAGATCTAGCTATGTAGGTCTCTCTTGCGTTTGCCTGATCTGAAATAC